TTGTGTTAGCCTTCTCCTAAAGCAGGCGTTCTGCTGCCACTTCAGCCATGCTGAGAAAATGAAATGATTCTGAGCAGGCAGCACCTTACCGTGACAGCGGGATAATGGTGTCTGGATGTGTGCGGTGTCCACGACCAGCTTCCCTGTGCTGGAGGACCTCGGGCAGGAACGGTATCTCCGCCTGAATGTGGTCTTTGTGGGTATAAATCTCTCCCGTGAATGAGCGCTGCCATGGAGCAGCTCAGTGCTTTGTAAAGGCTTCAGGCTTCTGGGCAGAGTTATTGCTGAAGATTTCGTTCTTTGACATTGCAACCGTGATTCATCTGTGCTGAACAGGGAGGGAGAGGTTGTGTATTGAGCCCTCGTGGAAGGACGGACCGCATGTTTGCTGCTCGTGTAGCCAAGGGCTCTGTTTTGATTTTTACTGTGGTAGAATCCAGCAACATCAGATGAGACTGGAAGAGGCTGTTTTGTGTCACAAGCCCTGTGTGAGCTCTGTGATGAAATGTCTTACAATTAAAAATGTAATAACATTCATCAGTGTATCCCAGGCTAACCGCAGCAGCTAGAAAACAATGAAATTTAACTACTTGGTGTTTTTTTTCTGCTGTCCTCTCAAAAGCTAACCAACTCTTCCCCACTTTTGTGCTGTAAGGTAATTCGAAAGGAGAGGAAGAAATTACATCCTGAGATGTGAAACAGTGGAAGCTGCTAACATTCTCCCTTTGGTTTGAGAGCAGGTCTCGCTGCATCCTCTGCAGAACAGGTCTGGATGGTTATACATAGGTTATATTTAGCAGTTGGTGGCACTAAGTGCGGGGGGTTTTGGTCAGTTAAAAAGGACAGTGATGTGCTGGAAAGTGTCAAATGGCATCGTGGGGCTGTGTCGTTATTGCAGCCAATGTGTTCAGACTGCAAGTGAAAAGATGGCTTTTCTGGCTGCCAGCTTTGCTGACTCCATCTGGGATCTAAAATTCAAGCTGTGTCTTTCCTGGCTGTGTCGCTAATAATAAAGATTCTTCATTTGGAACTTAGTTAAACAAAATTGATGCAGGTGCATGAGCTGAAAGAGAATCCAGCACGCTTTCCTCGAGACGTGTGGGCTAAAGCGCTAACAAGTAGGAACATAATCATTGTAATCTATAAAGTCATCAGATTATTTTAATAGACAGCAGATTTGTGGAGGAAACAGGAGATATTTTAGCATAACAAGCGTGTTGACCGTACAGCTTTTTTACGAAGGCTAGAGAGCTGATTGAATTTGGTCAGCTAGGCTGCTGCTGCCAGGCCAGCCAGTAATAGCTCGTTACATGTTGTTGGGAGGCTTTTCTGCAAATCTGGGGAAATTACATTTGGTATAACATATGGTATAATCTTCAACTCTCTCCTTGGGAAGTGAAGGCTGTCTCCTCAGTCAATGAATTGCCATATTTTTATCAGCAAAATGGATGTGCAGCTGTGACATACGCTGTTGAGTGATGTAACCTTTAATGTCTTTGGCAAATACTGGCATTAGCAGTCTGTTCCTCTCCATTTACATCTCCTCCAGAAAGTCATTACCAGCTGAGATTATACTAACACTTTCTGTCGTGAAAAAAAACTCCTCTGATGCTATTGAACTGTCAGGGAATCAAATGCTTAATGTTCTCATTTGCCTCTGAGGAGACAGAGAACGGAGCTTGTGCCGCTGCTTGTTGTACGAGGGAGGTGGTGAGAAGTGCACGGCGCTGGGTGTTGTGAATTGGAAGGACGTGCTGGGCAGGATTGTTTGCTCCACACAGCCTCCCGCAGCTCTGTTTTACTCAGCTCGTGGGGGAGGAATATATTGGCTAAATTGTACTTGTAGGCATAATATTGCAGTGCTTGAAAGGAGGAAGGCAAGTGGTGCTTAACTTTAAACACACACTGCATAGATTGGCGAAGGGTTCTGATCTCGGCTTCTTGCTCCTCACCGCGCCCATCGTCTCCGCTCTGTTGATTCTCAGAAATCAGCAGGATTAGTCCTCGGGGGCTGCATGGTGTTGGCAGAGCTGGCTGGAGGGCTGCTTTCCTTCGCTTTTGAGATCAACGGGGAATCGGTTCTCGCAGGGCTCTCTGGGATCCCTGCGGTGCCAGCCCACTCCCACTTGCTGCTTTTTCGTATTTATTGAAACCTCCCTGTCCTCACCCTGCTTCCTGTAACAAGTCAGACTCAGCAGTCGGGCAGAAACACGCGGGGAAGCGTGGGTGGCCTTTGGGGTGCGTTCTGTGGCCCAAGAGGACTTTCCTCACTGCTGTCTTGTTTTTTTTTTTAAAAAAACCCTTTATTGACTGTAAAACTCCTCAGGAGTGTCTTTTGGCAGCTGTTGATGAGAATGAGGAATCTCTTCTACAGATGAGCTTCGGCTGGAAGTCACTGGGGCCCAGAGCCTTAATGGTGTCTGACTCTCGTGGGCTGCAGTGGAAGTCGATACCGAAACCGCAGTTAAAGCTTTGATGCTTATGACCCCCAGGAAAGTAGGATCTTAAGTAACTTTCTCCTGTAATGGGAAACACTTTTTCCTAAAGTGTGGACTTACTACATCACTTCAACTCAGAGCTGCTGAAAACATCTCCTGTAAGAGAATCACTGGAACTGGAAAGCTCAGAGTCCCTCTGATGAGCTGAGCTGCTGCCAGCCTGCATTTGTTTCCTCGCACTGACAGCATTATTACCTGACTTTTAAAGCCAGCAGTTACGGAAGGTAATGATAACCCTTTAACCTCCTGCCACATTAGGGCGCGAATACCGAACTCTGCGCAAACACTGACGCTTTACATTTTAATTCTTTCCTACCAAAGGAGTGAGGACATCTCTGTTAGGAAAGAAATAGTTTAAACCCATCTACTAGGGAGCAACAAGAGTTACTGTAGAAAAGGGGAGGTGGTCTGAATTCCAGGGACAACTGTCTTTAAAAACAGACACACAGCACCCCAACCCTGAACCTGCCAAATTACCAGCCTGAATCTCCTCACTCGCAGGCTGCTGGCTTGGCTGTCTGCTCTAGGATTACGAGAGAGCATCTCCCTTATCGTTTTGCACGTGCTGTACCATCTGTCCTAAATCTCCCTTTGGAGGGGTATGGATTCCACATGACATTTCATTCTTAGGAGATAACAGAGATGTCTGAAGAATCTCACTAGGTATGGCTGTAGTGCTATTTATGTTGCAGCATGGTGGTTTTTTTTTTATTTATTTCATTTATCCCACAACCAGAGTGAACTCTGAACCTTTCTGGCTTTCTACACCCAGACATTGAGAAAACAGTTTATGCCACAGTCCCTGGGGCAACAGAGATAAAATCTCCCCGTTCTGTTGTGTGAGTTCTGCTGGAAGCAGACAAAGATGAAATATGACTAAATTCAGACATGACAAGGACACAAGAGATGCCTTTAATCTTTTATTGTACATTATAAAATGTTTATTGCTCTGTCTGTATCAGAGGTGTTGACCTCTCCCTCTTGGTGATGGAGGAGTATGTTGTGGCAGAGGATCCACTGAAAAGACCTTTGGGGTTGGCCTGCCTTCTGAAACCGGCACGAGGGAAGCCCTTCACCTCTGCGAGCAGGCTTCCCAGTGCTTTTCTCCCAAATCAACTCTTTTGGCAGGCTGGTGGCAGCGGAAGAGGAGGGACGGCTGAACTCCCTTACTGCCAGCCTCTTTCTTTGCAGGGACTTTGAAACCAGGCTCAGCTGAGGGCAGGTTTGTCGTCACGAGATTCAAACCCTGCTCAGGCCAACCTGTCTTGGTGTTGGATGGAACAGGTAGGATCTTGCCTTATCCCCTAGTGCATATGGAGTGGTCTAGTGGAGTAATTAAATAAATACAGATACCCCATGGCACACTACACAGAGTACGTCTTTTCCATGTGATGGACTTACATCTACCAGCTTCCAGAGCACCAGCGACCCCAGGGATCCTGTCAGCTGACAAACATCGAGCGCTCGAGAGAGAAGAGAACCCCAACCCCTTTCCTAGCCATCGCCATCCTTTTTGTGGAGGACTGACTCCAGCAGGTACCTGGCATTACAGCGTCACAAAAATAGTGCAGACAGGACGTGTCAGGAGAACCAGACCTTTCCACAGGAACCCTACGAAAAGAAGCAATTTAGGAACTTAAGCCCTCAGGAACAGGCCCCTTAGGCAAGAGCTTTTTGCAATAAGCAGCTATTGCCACAGCAGACCTTGCATAGCAACCGGTATCATTTTTTTTTTCTTTTTTTTGCTGACTGGCTACATTTTTACAGACCTTTTATCGCACTGGTGGTGGACTCAGGCCCAGCTGAATGAAGAAAATGGTTGAAATTATCCTGGAAGCTAAACAACAGCTTCTGGTGTCCCCTCGTGTTGGTCTGTGCCTCAGTGTTCGGCGTGCCCCGATTATCTGAGATGAAGAGCACCAGTGTGAGATAGAGACAGCAGCAGGGGAGATGTGCTGCAGCCTAACTGGAGAACTGGGGTATGCCTCTTTTCTTTTTTTTGTTTTAAAAACCCACCCACAAAACGTGTTACACGGCACACATCAATGGAACAAAGCAAGCCGAGAGCACACAGCAGCCAAAACCTGGTTGCTGGTCGTGTCTGCGATGAGCTTTCCTCCTTTCTCGCTCGGAGTGACAGTGACTGATGCCTGAGCTCACCTTAAAACTGTCAAGATGTAGTGACAGTGAGACAAAATAAAGACACAACAAAATCTTGTACATTTCCGAAGACAGGAAAATTGTTCCAGAAGACGGAGTGTGAGGGTGGAGAGGGGTGCGTGAGGAGATGCTCCAGCCCAGGTGATTCATGAGTCCAGCACAGGATCACGGGCAGCAGCTGTCTCGCTGATGCTTTTCCATCTTATTTGTTTGGGTTTCAGGGGTTTGTTTTTTTTTTGCAGGATTTTTCTTTCTGGCCAGATGTTTTGCAGAACACAGACAAGGGAGGTCTATGCCAGCAAGTGACAATCACAAGGTCTCTTTCCAAATTCCTCCAACAATATTTCGCCTCCCTAGTCATCAAGGCTCAGAGGCAGAAAGTGAGAGTGAGGGATGGAGTCCATTGATCAGATGGCAGGCTGTCACGCTTCAATGATATTCACCGAGGGCTTGTTTTTTGGAAACTAGAAGAGAAGAGGAGACAAAGGAAGAAAGGATGTATAGGAATCGCTAGAGAGGAAAAAAAAAACCCACATCAGAGATGAGTGCAGTGTGCTGGTCAGTTTTTGTTTTTGTCCAAGTTCTTGTTCCCATCCCCTCAGGATAATGGAAAAGGGACAGAGCTGAGGCTTTAGGGTTGCATGGTTTATCACTGTCTGCTTCTGAATGAGCATGACTTAGTGGAGTATTTCAAATAATAAATAAATGTGGAGGGGATGTGCCAGCAGGATGTGCTCCTGCTGACCAGCTCTTCAGTTCATGGCAAGAGCGATATCCCCTTTATTGAGCTGCTGCGGGGTGAGGACCCAGGGACTGCAGCATCGCTCTGTGCATTTTTCTTCCAGAGATATTCAGATATTTCAGAAATACGGGTTGAGATCTGCTTTACTGATGGACATGCAGGCTAGTCCAGTGAGGTGCTGGTGTCCTGATGGCTATGGGAGGCTCAGACCGCTAAGGAAGCCGTGGCACTGGCGTGCGTGGGTGTGAAGGGGTGTTTCCTTTCTGCATCCCAGCTGCAGGGAGGCGGATGGTTAGCAGAAGCTGCTTTTTGGGTAGTTGAGCTGAGGCCCAGCTGGAAGTTGATTGTCTGCCCTGTCCCCCACTGCGTGCCAGCAGCGTCTCACCTTGCTGCGGAGGAGCCCTCCGCTCTGGTGCTCGGGAGTGCTGTTCTCCGAGGCGCTCTTGACTTTCTCCTTGCTGTTATTTGGCTCGTTATCTTTGATGATATCGTACTGTCTGCAAAAGAGGGCGATCACCCCTAACAGGAAAAAGCATTAGCAATCACACAAATGAGCTCAGCCCCCGGAGCCCGCAAAGATCAGAGATCCCTTGCTTGCCAGCCGGCTTTGTGCCTTCTGGTGGAGATCTCAGCAGCATTCGCCATTGCTCCCAAGGATCATTTTCTAACACAGCTAGTCAGCCCTCTGGCCATTTGCTTCTCGATGTCTAATTCGATGCTAAACTAGTTAGACAGAAGGACAGAAGATTAATTATATTCCAACTTCCCTGTCATTAAATGGGACAAGTACTCTAAGCCCTACACGTGGATAGCGATCAGCACTACCCCTGTGTGGTTAAATGGGATCTTTGCTTTGCAAACACAGGAGCTCCTGGAATTTCTGGTCAGTGAAAACATTTCCTCTGATCTGTCTTCTCTGGGGTGAAGAGAAGAAGCTGGAGCTGGCAGACGAGAGGCAGGTACCATACCTGCCTGCCTGTGATCCAAGCAGCAGCAGCAGGACAACATCTGCAAATATGCAACGGTGACGGCAGCAAAAGCTGCCAGTGGAAATTTCCTCCCACACATGCAGGCACATGAAGAGGAAAGCAGGGGCAGCCATCACACGTAAGAAGACTGCAAATGTCCTTCTCAGAAGCTTTTATGTGACATTTTGACCAAATAACTTCTCTGCCTGTGGATTCTAAACACAGAGGTTAAGTAGACCCAGGTAAATTCTGCTTCTCCCTTCCTGAAAAAATATTCCAGCTCCCCCAAGAGCAAAACATATGTAAAGCTTTCACCAGATCATCACAAACGGCTCTGTTAAACGAGGTGTTTTCATGGCAGCTGCCCCCAGGTGTTACTTCTGAACGCAGTGGTCCAGATTCTTTCTTGCGTATGTGAACAAATGGCTGATCCTGGGAGGATAGGCTGACATCTGCCACGGGCACACCTTCTGCCGTTTCTGATGGTAAGACTGAGGCACAGAGAAGCAGAGTGCTGTGAACAATACCAGAAATACAGACAGCACAGGAGCCTGGGCGCAGAATGGTTCCAGTTTGTATTTGCTGAAACATCGTCATACACTCAGGTTATGGCCAGGCTGGGTTAGGAGCTGGAAAGAGGTTTTTGTATATTGAGATTTTGCAGAGAACCCACTAGATGTAGGGAGATTTCCCCACACACACTCAACTCTTTCCTTTTTAAATGTAAGTCATCTGTCTAGAAGGGAAATTGTGGCATTAGCAAATTCTTTGTTACGATGCTGATCTGAGTTTCAGATTATGCTATGGTGGGAGATGAATCAGTTCTTCAGTCATTTCATGTAGTTATTCATGACTGTTTTTACTGGCAGGGCATTTCAATGTGAGTGTGCACAACTAAAACTTGACATAAATGCTGAAAAGATCATGGACTAGAGGTTTTGGAAACCTCTTCATTTTGTTTAGGTGTTTTCATTTGGTTATCATCTCAAGCAATAATTGCTGTCCAGTCTCTGGAAATGCAAACAGTGCACGGTAAGCTCAGGACTTTGCAGGGCAAAAAAATGTTATATGTGGATCTGATTGTGTGTCACCCGGATTCGCTTGTAAGAAACCTCGAGGAACAGGACGCAGTTAATCCCTCCATCCCCCCGTTTGGTGACAGATCTCAGCGCAGTGACTGGTTTCCTCTTCACTCTCACCCTGGAGGTATCTCATCTCAGCAGAACCTATAAACGGGCCAAATCAGCCCCCTGATACTGTTGGGGTGGGTTTCTCCTCTGGAAGAGGAAAATTCTGTGTGTGGAAAAGTGGTTTGACTGGCACAAGAGGACTAAATATCAAGTGACCAAGGTTGTCTTTTATGGATCAGAGATTTACCATGGTGCTAATTTCCCTTCCTGCCAATTTCCTTGGGTCGCCTGAGCCGTTGCCCCTGGGCAGTGTGCTGTGACTCGCAGGGAGCAGACCTCGTTTCATTAATGTCTTATGGTGCAGCAGGACTGGCGGCCAGGAGGGGCTGGGGCTCGAAATAGAAAACAAAAGTGTGCAAACTTTATTTCCCATTAACTCATGCGTGTGATTTCCAAACGGAACAAGCTGAAGGGCTGTCTGCAGCTGCTCCAGACACGCTGAGCTGATGGAGCAGGAGTCAAAGGCGTTTTCCTCTCCCTGTTTGTTAGCTTAAAACATATGAGGGAGACCTGTCCTAGGTACAGCCTGCTGTAAGCTCTGGTCCCAAAGTCATGTTGGAAAACTCTTGCTTCTCTTTGGAAATTTAATTTATGTATTTGTACATATTACAGACATAGTGAGGGATCTTCATACCGAAGGAGCATTTATCTGATGCTCTGTTAGAGGCTGTGTGTGTATGTGGCTAACTACACCCATCGCATCCCACAGCAGAGTGGCCCTGGGATGGTTTTACTGCACCTGCCGCAGCACTGGGTGCTCTCAGCTGCAGCTGGCGTGTGGTCTGGCTTATAAAATCACATTCTGCAGTAGCCATCCCATGGCAGAGCCTCTGCTCGGATTAAAAGGATTAGTGGCTCCAAGGTGTAAGGAGGACTAGGGTGGAATTTCAAAAGATTGCCGAAAGTCTGGCTCCAAAGCATCCCTTTGGATAGCAGCTTTCAGCTAACGCTAGTCCTTCCTCCTCCCGTTGAGCCAAGCCCATGCAGACCTTGCCTTCCTTTCGGTTAATATGTTTCTGCTGATGTCCCTCCTCTTCCTATTAAATACTGTTCTTTGTGGTTTAATGGTGGGTGTTGAGTGGAGCTGGGTTTATTGGTGTTTTGGTGGCTGGGGCCGTTTGTTCTTTCAATGCTTCCATTATTTTAATTGATTTTGAAGTGGGTTTTAGTGTGTCTGTATAATAGTGGGTGTTGAGAGCAAGACACTTAAAATTCTGTTTTGCACGGGAGCTGGAGCCATGCAGCAGCCAGATAATGGCAGTGACCTGCGTCATTTGAAGGGCTCGAGGCATCCTGTTGGATGGCCGAGGGCATTATCATCAGTTCATTCTGGAAAAAACTGGGATTCCAGGATTAGCCATGGGGAATCAGACAGTTGGTTCATCAAGTCCATTATCTCCTTCCTGCTGGAGTAGGTCAGACACCGATTCCCCTGCTTTGGGCCCTGCCTGGCTCGGGATGCTGCAGAGGAGCCTCAGGTGCCCTTACAGCTGAAGATGCAGTTCTCTTTATGGGAAGAAGGTTTGTTTGGTTTTTTTTTTTTCAGTTCTGACACGATTACCCACGCAAACTAAGCAAGCCAGCAGGCCCTGGGGATATTACTTGCTTTTGACAGAAAGATGGAACTGACCTGCCCACATAAACAACACCACAACAATGATGAGAATTTCCCCCGCTCGCAGCTGTTGGTTTTTCTTCTCCATCTCCTTCATTGTCACCTCATCTGCACAGGGGGAAAGAGAGATCGTGAAACCTAACTGCGCGGCGAAGGCTGTGCTAGACACCAGTTTAATGCTGCCCTTGGCCCAAAATCATCGGTGCAGTGGGGTCAAAGCGAGCAGGGAGGGAGTCCTTGCCCGACAGCCGTGCCAGCAGCACAAGCTGCGCTTTGAACTTGCAGAGCATCAGCCTCTCTGCAGCACCTGCCCCTGAAAACCTGCGGCGATGGGGCGAGGGAGGAGCGGTGAGACGGGATCGACAGGCAGGTACCACGGAGGAGCTGCCACGGGGTAAGGCCACGTTATTTGGCCCCGTGGCGGCTTGCTCTGCTCTGTCTCTGGTCTCTGTTAGTGCCGTCTGCGGCTGTCACAAAGCCTTGCATGCTTCAGCAGTTCCTCTCCCAGCTCGGGAGCGTGGAGCCTGGCATGATATTTTTCAGTGGAGCTGTGGGATTCAGAAATGAGTAGAGCCTTTTTGCAGGGCGTAATGTGCCTCCTTGGCTTCAAAGCACTAAGAAGATTACAGTTCAGGCCTCCGGGGAGGGAAGCAGTGCTCCTCTTAGTGCTTTCAGATGAACAGCGATTCAGTATTTACAGACACCAAATCATTTTAGCAGAAAGAATCAAGAACTGACAACATCCTAGGAACCACGGCCAAAAGCCCTGCAACAGGCTGGGTTCTCGGTCGGCAGGCAGTAACCCTTCACACCCCAGACCCCTCTGCTCCCTGGCCCTTCTTGTAGCAGAGATTCTTGCTGACAGAAAACCTTCAACAATCTGGTTTGGCTGAAGAGGAACAAATGAAGGAGCTGCCAGTGAGGAAGTCCCTGATTTCCTCCATGGAGATATTCAAAACCCAACTGGGAGTGATCCTGGACAACCTGCTCTAGCTGACCCTGCTCGAGCAGGGGTTTGGGCAAGGTGATCTCAAGAGGTTTTGAGATCTAGAGGAACTCTAGAGGTCTCAAGAGTTGGATCTCCAACCTCAGCTTTCTGTGATTTTGTGATTTGGCAGAAGTATTTGAGATGTAGGAAAACTGGAAGTCTCTGGGTATTTTTTTTTCCCCTCCTATCCTGGAATCCAAGCACAGGATGCTCAGCAAATCCCCCCGGGCACCCTGTGAGCACAGTGGTGTTGTGCCCAGTGCCATCCAGGATCCTAGTTCCACAGGCTGCTAAGGAATTTCCCCCGGCATTCTCCACTTGCAAGGATGCCGGACACACGGCTCCCAGTCTGGAAACCTTTTCCTCCAGTTTGCCAGTTAAACCTCATCTGAAAGGGGAGAAATGAACAGCCAGCCTTCGGCAGCACCTCCCTATGGCTTTGTGCACCCCTCAGCCTTGCTGCTGGGTACACTCAGGGCATCCCTCTTGTCCGTGTGGGGCTGAGACGGGACTCAGCCTTGTGTGCCTTTAACCCAGCTATCCTTGTTGCACAGGACGCTGCTGTCCTCTCTGCAGAGCCCTGCGCTGCTTGGGTGTCCCAGGGGCCACATAGGAACTCACCCACACTTGCCTTTATTTTTAGAGGCTAGTTTCTCAGCTTCCCTGGGGGTCTTGAAGAGGACTGGCTCACTGGCAGGGCTCTGGCCTTGGATGCTGATGGACTGGACATGCACAATGTACTCAGTGTCCTCCTCTAGGTCCCAGAGGGCACAGGAGCGGGTGGTGGTGTTCACCTCCTGGATGAAGCGCAGCATCCGCACGTCCTTCTTCTGGAAGCCGAGAGAGGAGAGCACAGAGTGGTGGAGAGGCCTCCCGTGTGCACCGCTGTCATCTAAGACCACTGCTTCCTGCCCTGTCCACCACGGACGTGGAGACCGTCGGACCCTTTCCTCTCTGCAGCCACCAATACACAAAGCGCTGCTGCAAAGAGGACGGGGAGCCAAGTCCCCTCCCAGACCACGAGGGACAGGACGAGAAGGAATGGGCTTAAACTGCAGCAAGAGAATTTGGAAACTGAGGGGACCTGGGGTGAAGATGAACATGACCGAGACTGGGTAACTGTAGGCACCATACCTGTTGGGAAATGGCAAATCCAATGACCACTTCATCTTCCAGAACATCCCAAGTCACAACGGCTGAGTTGGCTTTCAGATGTTTGACTGTGACATTTACTGGAGCCGATGGGCTGTCTGCAAGGAGGGAGAGCAGAGCCTTTACGGAGGCAAAGTCACAGCCGCAGGCAGGAGACAGAGCAAGGGCAAGGACAGGAGGGGGAAAGGACCTTGATCACGGCCCTTCCTGTGTCTGCCTCTGGATATGGGACCTGGAAATTGCAGGTACTCCATGTTGTAATTACCCCTGAGGTTCTAGGAGATCCCTCCTGAGAACTGCATTAGACACGTGTGAAATAACTGACCCTTGGAAGGAGTTTCGTTTGACAACACAGCAGACGACCGAGCAGCTCATTCATCTCATCCTTCCCAGCCACATACCACTCTGCTGTTTCCCGTTACAGCCTGACAGCGACAGCTGGGAGGAAATGCAAAATCTGCCTTGGAAGTATGAAAACTGAATGCTTTGATGAGCCCTCTGGAGGTTTCAAATTCAGGAGCAGTTAAATGGGAGTGTTTCTTTTCCTTTTCCCTGTTTGACAGAAAATTTTGATACACATTTTGCAGCTGATGGGTGGTCGGAGGACATCCAGCAACCATCCTCTTACAGCTAACAGGACAGAACATACTGCGAGAGCACCGATGGACCCCTGTAACGTGAAAAGGGCTGGCTGTGGAAGCAGTAGCCCAAGGCCCCGTGTTTAGTGTTTGTTCCCAACTCCAGAGCCCAGCTGTGTTTCCAGCTGCAGGGGACCTGCAAAGCTGCCAGCCTTGCCAAGGCGAGCGGGGCTCTGGTGTCCCAGCTGGGCTCTAATGTCCCTGCTGGGCTCTGGTGTCCCTGCTGGGCTCTGCTGTCCCTTCTTGGCTCCTGCCCTCTGGCACACCCTCCCTGGGACCCTCTTCCCAAGGGAGCTGCCCAGTGCAAAGCCCTTCATGGCATCTCAGGGGAAGGTTTTCCCTCGGACGCTTGGCACAGTCCTTCCCGTGCTCAGGGCAGCAGGCTGGACTCCTGCTCCCTCTCCTCTGGTCAGATTCACAGCCTCCAGCTTGTCCCCTGAACCCAAAGGCAGGAAATGCTGACGAGGCTGCTGGGACTCCGATTACCCCCAGGAGCTCAGTAGGGTGAGAAATAGTAATTTTTTCTGACTAATAATGCTTTTATTGCTTTGTAACCATTGCACAACGCCTCCCTTCTGGGGCTGTGGCTGAGGTCACCAGTAAAAGAAGGATGCACGTGTGCACATCTCCAGTAACACTTGTTGGATTTATAGTCAGTCCCAGCCGCCTGAATGTGGCCGAAAATATTCTAGCTGTAGTGTCAGTGTCTCCTAACAACTGACTTCACTCCTGGTGAATGTTCCCCCGGGAACAGAAAAAATAACGGGAGCACAAAATTCCCCAGCTGAAGGTCAGTGCTGTTCTACATGTAGCAGAGCGATGACCTTATTCCCTTCTCTCCTCCCCAAACAACACCCAGAGCCCTGCCTTCGGAGCTCCTCTTTCTAGCAGGTGGGAGCCCTACATCCACCAGCAAGGTCCTTCAGAGAGCAGAAAGGTCACTGAAAGGTGCGTGGCTACGTTCACGTGAATTTGGGATTTCAGAAAGAGCAGCAGCAAGCGATTGTCATCTCCGGGATTTCACAGGGGAAGGTGTTCCTCCTCTCTAGATGATCAAGTCAGGAGTGACCCAGAGCATTCTCATCTCTTGGGGGATGGCCTTCGTGAAATGGGGTGGTGGTCTCCAGACAGCTCTCAGAGAACGGAAACATTCCTCACCCTCACCCTCTGCTGCAGCAGCCAGACCAAGGACAAGCTGAGCATCCTCCTCCGTCCCTGCTGGACTCAGCTCCCTGCTGTGACACAAGGAAGGGACGCGGGTCTGCAGCTCCTCACCTTCCCCCGTGACCGAAGCCGTGTGCCAGCCAGAGTAGGGTCTAATTTTAGGAAGGGGCAGTCAGCAGATGGGAACGCGTACGGGGAAGGTCTGTGAGTCATGCCTGATGAATTTGCTAGAACATACGGAGGACATGACGGAGTCGAGAGCTGGGAGACAAAACAGTCTCCAGCTGCAGCCAGGCACTTCGCCCTTCTCAAAGTACAGCTGTACGGTTAAATCCCGGCATGGTTGTCTTCCCTGGATATTTTTAGGAGCTAAGGTTTTTTTAGGAGCTACCACTGATTTACCCAGCTTGGGTTGAGGAGGCTTTTGAAAACAAGATGAGTTAACCCCGCAGGAACAGAGAGAAAAGGCTTCAGGCTGGGAAAAGGGAACGTACAGCACACCCCTCGTGGTGCCTGAGTCCCTTTGAAATTTGTGACCTTGAGGGAGGCACAGCATAAAAAATATCTTAAGTTTCCTGATGACTTACAGTGCGGGGGAGTTGGGAAGACCCAGCAGAGCTGGAGAAGAGCAAAGAACCCCTCTGGGAACTGGTGAGAGTGGGTGGAAGGCTGCGAGGGAGAGGGGAAGCACTCGGCAAAGCTGCAGCCCAGGGCTGGGAGCCTGCAGAGCAGGACCCTGAGTGTGGGCAGGGGAGAAGTCAGGTGGTGGCAATGGTCGGGAGCCCTCTAGAAAACCCCCTTCATAGTAGTACCCGAGAGAGAGACGGGGCATTTGAAGTCAGCAGATAACACAGCGAAATCCAGGCCAGCAGATCTGAGCGTGCCTTTCCTCTCACTGCCACGGGTGAGGAGTAGCTTCCCATAAATCAGTGGTGTCAAAGCGGTATAAAAGCGATATGAAAAGAGAATTAAGCGCAGCGTTTGACAAAAGTACAAAGCCAGGAAAATGAGTTTCCTGCTCCCAGAGCTGAATGAATAATTTGGAACCAAAATTTTTAATCCATGAGGATGCTTTTCTCCTCGCTCCCAGGAGATGCATGATGAGATCATGACTTTGTAAAATCTAATCACTATTCCGAGATATTCCACAGTGCTTTGGGCTCCCTGGGCCAGTTGCAGCTCTTCGTGGTGCCAGCTTGGCTGAGGTCAGGTGGAGAGGGTGTAATTTCTGTTCCCAGCTGGCTGTAAGGGGTCAGCACCTCTAGCAGGGCCTTGAGATGCCAAATCCAAACATTTGGTTCCTTCTGGAGTCATACACGACTCCTGGAGACTTTCCTTCTGTGCCTGTGGCGGCCAGGGAAGCTGCTGGTGGGCTGGGACCTGACACGAGGGGTGCAAGACCCCAGGGCCCCTCTTTAAGGGGGAGGCTCAATTAATAAAGAGGAAATCATGATTTTTTAAAACGTGAATGGCTGCTTCTAAACTGATTGTGCTTAAACCGTGTCTTGTTTCCTTCCCACAGGGACCATTCATCAGGTGAACCGCAGTCCTGCGTCCCCCAGCGCTGTGTCCCCCAGCCCTGCCGCGCTCCTACCCTGGCAAGAGCAGGGCAGAGCCGCCTCCGCACAGCAAGGAAGCGTGAGTGACGAAGATTACCCCTAATCCCCTTTTAATGCTGAGAACTCCTTCTAGCCTCTCATTAAATGCTTTACTGATTGTTAATGGACTTTTATTTGAGAGAAAGAAAAAACTAAACCCCACACTTTCCAGCTTTGGGCTGATTCCTTCCTGGCTGTTCATTGTCCACGCGGCAGCTGCCGGCACAAAGAGGAGGAAACCACCCGCTTGCCTCTGGTGTTGCCTTCCCTGTCGGAGCTGTGGCGTGGATGGGATTGAGAGGGAAGGAGGTTTGTCTCCGTCCTGCTGCTGCTATCACCGTGAAGGCAGGGCTGCTGCTCCAGGGTGGTGGAGTGAGCCGAGGGGGTGTCTCAGACCCCAGGGTGTCTTGCCTGGCACCTCCGGGATCAGGGAGGTACCAAGCCCACAAAGAGATACTGGGGGATGCTCAGAGCTCCTGCCTCCTCTGCCCTGGTCCCTCTCCTTGCTGTTGTGTCTCTCTTTAAAGCCAGTCTCAGTTTGCACCCTCTGCCGTGAGCTCCCGTGGTGGGGCTGGGGGTGAGAGCTGCCTTGCTGCCTTCAGCCATGCAGGCAGCTGGGGAATCGTTGCTTCGAGTAAAGGGAAGAGTCTGTGGAAATACCACACACACCTCTGCCAGCTGAGTCCCATGGTCAGGTTGTAGTTTGGAATTAGTGTGCTGCTGGATTTATCTCCAGAATTCATCATTCAAGTTGAAATCCGAGTTCAACTGTCCTGGAAACTCCAGCTGCTTGGAAGTGCCCGGAGTGAACGCTTCTGACACGCCAAGGCTCTGCTGTAGCCACAGCATTTTCCAATTCAGTTAGCCCCTCTCCCCCAAGCAGCTCCTTTCCTGCTGTGAAAGGCTCAGCTGCTCCAAAGCCCCTGAGACATGGTCCAGCGAGCAGAGAGCCCGCCGAGGCTCTGAACCGGCTCGTTTGGTGCTATCAACCTGCCAGCTGCCTGCCCTTTCCTGCAGGGAGCAGCCAATGTCAGCTTGAAATCCCAGGAGCTCTTTGTTCCCACACCTCAACCTTCCCTATGGACGCAGGAGATGGAAGGACACGACCTGCGAGGGGAAGGAGCATCCCCTAAGGTCCCGTGTGATGTTCTCCGCAAAGCGCTGCTGCCCGCTTGCTGAGCATGGGTACAAAGAGCCCTGCTTCTGCTGCCTTTCTGCGCCTTTCTCTGCTCTCCCAGCAGGGTTCCCTTCAGCGGCTGTAATTGCTTCTCAGCTTTATGGGGGATGGAGGAAGGGCTGGCGTGCGCTTCAGCTTCCCCGAGAGTTTTAATGAAGGGACCCTGCAGGGGAGAGGGAGGGAGCAGGGCCCACAGCTGCCACCCCGCTCCCGGCCGCGTGGGAAGCGAGGCTATTTGCTAAGCTCTGAGAATTTCAAAGAGCAGAAGGACCAACCGGTGGTTTTTCAGGCTGGGAAAGAGGCAATTATTTTCTGCTGACCGCCCACTCCCCTGGACAAATGGGATATTAATAGGCAGCCCCCTCTCACCCCCCTCCCAGCCGTGTTTCGCCAGTTCCCCAGGGAGCAGGAGCCCAAATGTGCAGGTGGAAATGTGCTCTCAGGGAGGGTGGAACCCTTTCAGACGCTTGCTGTGTCCAGCCCGGGCACCTGGAATTCCTCAGGGCAGGAGGAGGAAGAGGAGCCAGCAGCACTGTGCTCAGCTGGGGCTGGGGTTATCCTGGTGCCTGTCCCTGCCTCAGAGAATGTCCTGTACTGCCAAACCTCCCACTCTCTGAGTCCCAAAGGATTTGTTCGGGTCTTGCCAAAGCCATGAGTTGGGTTTTAACGCTGCCGACCCAGAGCAGAGCCATTGACGTGGCACGTTCTACCCAGGACCCGAATTCCCTGGGGAGGGCTGGGTACCGCGGGCTTTCCTAGCTCCTCTCAGCCCCTGCCTCTGTCATGTTGGAGAAATACGAGAGAAATCAGTCAGAGGCAGAGGGTGAGTGAGCCCTGGAGTTTCACGGCTGGATGCTGGTGCCCAGACCTCTGCCGGGAGTTCGCTGGCTGGTCCCAACCCCGCTCTGCTCAGCCATCCAATACTCGGGTTTTTACTGCACACACAACCATCGGCATGCTGCGGTGCTCAGTACATTCCTGCTTTTCACTGAATTATTCCTGAGTCGAGCCTTAATTTGGCCTCTGGGTACTGTATAAACCAGGGGGGGTTTCTTTGACAAGAAATGCCAAAAGGATGAGGCCGTGTTTAGTACCAGGACATGGGGGACACTCCGTGGAGGCTGTTTCTGGACCCTCCATGGTGTGTGCGAGTGCGTCCCTCTCCGGGAGGGATCTCCCCTTTCCACGTGTACATTCCCAGCAGGAAACAGCGTTTGGAAGAGGATGGCACAACCTCGGCTGCTCTGCACAGCAACGTCCCTGCTGAGAGGCTGACACTGAGGTTAGAAACTCCATATTTCAATTAAATCTCTCCTACGCGGAATGCAGAAATCAATAAAGCGCTTACACCATCCTTCAGCCGGCCAGGAATCTCCGTGGCCTCGGTGAGACGGGAAGGGACCAGCGCGGGTCGGTTTGCCGTCCCCAGATAGCTGGCAGACCGAGCGCTGCTCTGTCGTGCGTGCCCAGCCCATTCCTCGCTCCCGGTTTCGATCCTGCCAGGCCAGGGGTGAGCTCAGCTCCCCTGATATCCTGGCGAGACGCAGGTTGGGAAAGAGCATCCGCAGCCCGGCTCTCACCTTGGCTTTGCTCTCCTTGCCCCCCACAGCTGGCAGGGCTGCCGGGGAGGGGGCGAGGATGGAGACCCACCTGCGCAGGGGCAGAGGAGCCGGGTTTGCACAGTGTCGGGGTGTGAGAACGTGCGCTAGAGCTGGGCAGTGACCAGAGTCCAGCTGGGTGGGTTTGGCCCCTTTTTTCGGCAGTGGAGGAGCTGTTTGGGGGCTCCCTGGGCTGGAGGTGCAGCTTTACCTCCACCTGGGCGGTGTGCTCTCTTTCCCCCCATCCCACAGAAATAAACCCGCCTTGAGGTGCTCTATGGGCCGGCACCGTGCAGGGATGCTGTTTGCCCTAAGTCGCAGGGGCTCTGGGCTATTTTGGGGTCTTTCATCGTCCCTGCGCAGCATCGTCCTGCTGCTCTGACAGCCCTCAGAGCCCGGCACAGCTCCCCTCCCTCTGCATCCGCTCTGCCCAGCGAGGAGGGGTCTGCCGGCAGCTCGGACCACACAGGCTGGGCAGAATGGGCCAGCCCACTTCCAGAGCAAAATTAAATGTTATTTCTGACTTTCCAGTCATCCTGAGTGCTTTCTCAGGGACCCTCTGGAGCAGGCAGGGGTAGGAGTGAGCCGGAGGGTTCGCCCGCACGGTGCTGGTGGGGTGCTGGGGGCTATCAAAGGGTGTTTGGAGGTTATTGCTCAGCTTGTCCTGGTCCTGCTTCTCTTCTCGCTCACCTTGCCAAAAAATGGTCCTGCCTGGCCAAACCCCCTTCCAGAGCCGGGCACATGCTTGGTGCCGCTCACTCGCCAGCTGTGTGTGCAGGGGAATGTGCGCCGGTCCCCTCCTGGGGACAGCAGCGTTGACCTCTCCCAACAGGCACCGTTTCGAAGTCTCGGGTTGGGGGGGGGAGGACCGGCGGAGCCTCCATCCGTGCCTGGCCCGGCCAGGTTGGGTTCCTCTCCACGGGCTTTTCCAGCGGCTCGTGGCTTGCTCATCTTGGTGGCCTTGTGGCCACGTTGTCGGGTAGGGCTGGGGACAGAACTGGTGGTGACGCTGCCACTACCTCCGTGTGACCTTGGGAAGATCGCTCCACACCTTCACTCCTCTTTTCCCTCTCTGAAAACCAGGGACCAGACAAGTTCGCTGCCTCGCTGGGGTGCGGGGGGAGCATGCCCCAACCCCTGGCAAAGGAGCGTTGTCGGGTAGGGCTGGGGACAGAACTGGTGGTGACGCTGCCACTACCTCCGTGTGACCTTGGGAAGATCGCTCCACACCTTCACTCCTCTTTTCCCTCTCTGAAAACCAGGGACCAGACAAGTTCGCTGCCTCGCTGGGGTGCGGGGGGAGCATGCCCCAACCCCTGGCAAAGGAGACCACGGGGAGAGGGGGCAGCGGGGGCGTGTGGTGGCATGGCACCAAGGTCACGCAACTCCATCAGAGCTCAGGACCAATTCCTGCCTCCCCACGATGACACAAGCCATGAGCCAGGGTGGCTCTGCGCGTCTACAGAGCTGCCGG